GGCACGGGCACTAAAAGGCTATTTTGCCTCAAGGCAGAACGGGGGGGAGCACCGCATGGGGGATCTGATGAGGCCGGGATCTGAGGGGATCTGTTGGCAACATGCAGGTACGTGAGGGGGTGTCTCACAGAGGTGGGCTGAGACTTGCTTTTCCCTGCGGAGAGGGCAGGGCGCGTTCCAAGGAAGCCAAGATCCGGGAACCAAGATTCATGGTGCAACCTGCCCAGGTCATGGTTCCCCTGTCGTGCTGCTCTGACAGCCAGGACATTTTTCCTGCTCTCCGGCTTGTGGAAACTTGAGCCCATTGCTCTGAGTCCTGCACTCGGGGATGATGAAGAAGAGATCTTGTCCTTCCCCTTTGCGACAGCCGTTCAAGCATCTGCAGAGTGCCACCCAGCTTCCGCAGGCTCAGCATACTCCGGTCTCTCCATTGCTCCTCACAGGGCTTCCTGTCCCGTCCAGGGCCACCCTTGCCGCCCTCCCCCGAACCCTTTCCGGCTTGCCTGCATCTTTCTTGGGTCGTGGCGCCCAGAACTGGGTAGGGCAGATGGGCCCTGATCACGCTCCTGCTGCCAAGGTAAATGTGTTCATCACCGCGAGGGCTTACAGTTCTCCGTGCAACCAACTGAGAAGAGCAGCTCGACACCAGCGGGAGCAAAACAGGCCTGGGCACGTGTTCTTGCAAAGAGTGATGGCCCCAGCTTCCACAAAGCGCAGGCAGAAAAGAAGCGCCTCTTGGATATAAGCCAGGCTCCTCCGGTGCAATATTACAGGGCACGGGATCAGTGCCACTTACACAGTGGATGTGCAGGCAGGCAGCACACCAGCTCCCTTTCTTGGGGGGGCGGGGAGAAACAGGGAGCGATTTTCCGAGTGTTCCTATTTCCTGGCTCTCTGCACCAGCCCGAGTTACACCTGAGCTGGCGGTACTGACATGTTTGTCAGTTGCTCTCTGCAACCGTCGTCGTGTTAAGCCCTCGCGCTAAAATGAGAGCACGTCTGTGGTAGAGCAGATGCCTCAGCGCAGATTCCAAGGAGAGGAAGGACGCAGCGGGTCCTGCAGCTGGGAGGGTGGAGCACCTGCTGGCAGGATGGCTCTGTTCTCCTCTGGCTGTTGGAGACACAGAAATGAGAGGGAACGCTCTCTTTAAAAGAACCCCGCTAAATAAATGCAAAATGGACTAGCCTGTGGAGGTCGCTTGCTCAGCGAATGAGATTTCTGTGCTCTGCATTAGAGGAAAAATATTTCTGAAGCAAGAGGGATCGTTTCTGTTGTGCTGATGCACTTCTGTCATATCAGGTATCTTCTTCAAAAAGACCCTGTTTGTTCGTGAGAGACCATTCATTCATTTATTACATTTCTATTCCACTAATCAATGGCCCAGCAGGACTCTCTAAGCAAGCAATCCCTCCTTTAAGGTGCATTGTATTCCATCTACAATGTTGGAATACAATGTATGAGCATTTATAAGAATATGTTTTCATTCATACAAAATAGTATGTTTTCATTCATGTAAAAGTCCATTGCTGGAGGTATCTTTTCAGCAGATGGGGAGATCCTGTGGCCCTCTAGACATCCAGAAGCAGGTGGGATTCCCGGATCCTAGATCAAAAACGCTCTCAGACCACAGATGGGGGGGTGGTCTTTCCGCCCCTGCAATCAGCATGGAAAGAAGCACACCTCGAGACTGTAAAAGTTTCCCGGAGAAGATGTTTGAGGGACAGGGAGCCAAGAGGGCAGCCCTGGCACCCACCCAGTCTCAAAAGTCACGGGCAACCCCAGGGGACTGCCCCCTGACAGCTGTTCGGCTCGCGACTGAGTCCATCTGCTTTAAACATTATCACCCTATTTTAAATTCCAGAAGGCATGCACTGGGGCAGAGAAGCGGGTTAGATCTGGAATCAGCGAGAGCCAAGCCATTTCTCTGGCAGGGTTTCCAGAGGCCACCCTCCACCATTTGACCTGCCAGGGAGGGCTTACCTCCCCCCGCCCCCCGCAGCCAGTTGCCCCCGTGTGCCTCCTTGGGCAGTGGAAGAGTGCAGCCCGTGCAGGCCAGGCAAAGCAGCAGCGCCACTGGCCCTGGCCAAGCCGCGGATTTGGCAGAGTAGAGGAGCAACAGGAATGAGGGGGGCTCCGGGGGAACCCCAGGAATGAGCATGCCTGCTTGCAGGGAGGGGAGAAAGGAGGTCTGAGGTTCTGAGGCAGCACCGGGGCTCCCTCTCCTGGCCAGAGACCAGAACAGCAGCCCAGGTGGTTCAGGACCGGGCCGTGGTCAATCACAGCCACCTGAGATTTTATGAGCTCCACCTGGGAGACCTGAGGGAAGAGCTAAATAAGAACGGGCTCTTCCCTTCAGCTGCTGCCTCAGCACCGAGGGGTCTTGATGCTGCTGGAGCTCCCTGTGCCTCCTGGAAGCTCTGCCCCTCGCCTTGCTCCTGCCTCTGCTTCTGGACCATCACCCGCTTCACCTGCTCCAGCCTTCCGCTCCAGTCCCTCCCGGGTACCTGCTTCTCCCTGGCTGGTCTCTCTGGCTTCCGACCCCTGACTGGCATTGGCTGCTCTGCTCTGCTTGGACTGGCCTCGCTTGCACTTGTGTTCCCACCTTGATCCCTGGACTGCCTGCCATGATTTGGAATGGGCCTGCGTATCGTGCCGACTGCCTGGGCCCTGTGCCCTGACCTGATGCCCACCACACACGCCCCGGATGCAGACAGGAGGGAGCACTGGGAGCGGCTGCCTGGAACGCCCAGCAGGCGCCCGTCCTGCTGGCTCACGCTGCAGCGTGCACTCCCCATGTGCCGTGGGGCTGCGGCCAGCCCGCAGAGCCATGCATGCCAGCAGGGGGCCACATACGTGCAACTGCGTGCTGGGGAGAGCCCGTTTGCTCATTGCAGCAAAGAAGCCCTGCACGTCCCAGCATCCCACAGCCAGCCCTACTGGGGCATACTGGAAGCTGCAGGGAACTTTTGCTGTCTCCGCCTGAACAAGATCGTTGTAACTCCCCACCACCACCAGAGGGAGCCGTGTGTCTAACGGGAGAGGCTGGAAACCAAATAATGCATAAATAACATAAAAAGACTACACTGTTCATCTTTTTAAACTGCTGGCTCCAGCTTGCAGTTGCTTAGAAAAGACTCACACTCAAAACATTTGAAAAACCTGCGGAGAAACAGTTTCCTTTTACTCTCGTATCTCCAGAAGGTGTAAGAGGTGAGGCAGCAGGAGGAGCAGTTTATCTTTCTGGAACTACAGGCCTTTTTTGTTTTATTATAAAAAGCCAAAAGTGCCCCGAGGGTATGGCATGGGCTTCCACAGGAGGTGGTAGAGACCCCACCGGTGAGGGTGTTCAAGGATAGGCTGGATGTGCACGTGGTGGGCATGTCATGAGTGGAGCCAGCTGGAGCCAGGGTCAGACTAGATGGCCCGGGAGACCCCTTCTGACTCGCGCTGTTTCTAGTATTACAATAAATCATGACAACCCAAGACAGTCACCATTCAGTTCATCAAGTTCTTCCACAACGGTTGGGTTTCTTTTGCCGTGATACGCAAACACGCATGTAGAGCATGGGCTTGTGTGTGCCCAACCTATTTCCAGCTGTGTGCATCGCACAGGTAATCATGCGAGGGGACGCTGGTTGGATGCCACTCGGTGTGGGAAATTCTCTCTTGAATCAAGAGGAGAAAATCAGCTGAAAGCACCTTACCCAAAACTGTTGTATTTGAAAAAGCAGCCCTGGCAAGGAAGCAACCCTCTCAAGACCCGGCATCTCTCCCTGTATGAATTAAGCGCTGTGTTGGCAGGAGCGTCCCAAAGGAAACCCGCGGGCCTTAAGAGGGTCCGGCTGGGGTCCAACTGGCTGCGGAAGTTCTGACTGGCTTCCCAGGGAGTCCCAGAAGTAGCTTGCTCAGCTGCTTGCTCAGGACAGTTCTAGCTGTGGGGATAAGCCTGAGACAATGATTGTGTGAACCACGCGAGTTCCTTGTTAGGGGAAAAGGAGGAATTTAATGTGATAAATCAATAAGCGAACATGGGGACTGCCACAGGGCTTTTCCCTTCTGGGCTGGAACACAGCTTCACCCCACAGTAAACCTGCTGGGCCTCCCTGCTTGCTTGCAAGGAGATCCTTTTCTCCAGACGAGTCCAAAACCATCTCTGCATGAGCAAGGCGCTGCCTCGCCACGTATGCGGCGAGTCCACAACCTCTGTGGTGGGCCTGCTAAATGGGCATGGCGGCCCCGCAGGCCACAGCTTGAGGACCCCTGCTGTACAACGTGGCTTAAGCAGGTGCTGAAATTTGGAAGACATGAGCCTCTTTTGAGATGACATGCCAGGCCTGTGCTTTCTGCTGAACAGCATCCTCAGAACCAAAATGGACTCTCGGTGCTTAGAAGGAGATCTCTTCTAATTAGTACAAAGTCTAGAAAGGGTTTCGGAAATTCTATTTCCTGTTAACTGATTTCAGAGCCAAGATTCTTTGGCAGAGCTGTTTTAGCAAGCTGTATTCTGATGTGATGCAGTATATGTATTTTTTTTAATGCTTCAAATGTTTTGATTATTACAAACCCAAACCGAACCCGTCTAGAACAGTTTTGGGGATAAGCTTTGTTTTAAGGTGTATTAATTATGGGCAGTTAACTGGCAGTCCGGGGCTGCCTAAAGACAGGAATGAGACTCAGAGTTGACTCACCAGAGGCCAAACCCTGAGCATTTGGCCAGCGATGGAGTCCAGTTCTATTCACCCTCCTGTGAAACCTGCCTCACTCCCCCAGCCTGAAGAGGTGAAGTGTCTGGGATTGTCATTATCTCATGCCAGGCCCTATGCAGCTGCGCATGGAAACGCCACCTCTGCCTCTGCAGTTTGGGCGATGTTTCCAGTTGTGCACTCGGGTGTCACCAAGTGGCCAGGCGCTGATGCAAAGCACTAAATCACCCCAGGGAGCAGTCCATGTGCAACCATATGACATCTTTCAATAACTCAGCACAAACAGAGCGGAGCACTTGTGTCTGCAAGGATTTTATTCACTGTTCTATTGACCGGCTCCATATTTGCACAGGTGGGAGAAGAACAGCCAAACCAAGAGGCTACTCTGGAACATCACATTCAGAGTTGAATTTCTGAGATCACAGATATCTCCCCTTGTACCTGCCACCGGAGGCAAGACAGACAAAGGTGGTGTCCATCTGTGAACCCAGAGCACAGGTCAACCAATCACAGGGCCAGATACAAGTCTCTGTAAGATTATATTGCAACTTTATCACCGTAACTGTTGTAAACCACTCACAGTGCCTTGGCTATTGGACAGGAGCAAAATGTAATCAACAAAATGAAATGGGACCTTCAGTGCCAAGGCGGGGTTCTCAACCCTCCCGGGCTTTGGCATTTATACAGCTGAGATGCAGTGCCTTCCTCTTGCAAGTTCCATAGTCATCCTGGGAACACTTTCTGGAGGCTGGTAAGAGCAAAGCAGAGGTCACCGCGACTCTTTCCAGACTGCTGCCGCATGGGAGGGATGAGTGCTCATGCTGTGTATCTTGCCTTTACCTTCGTGCACCTTCCGTTCATAAACCTGCCATACCATCAAAAAGCCAGCAAAATCCACCTGAGCAGAAGCGAGAGCAAGATAAAAGAGCGGCCCCTCCTCAACTCCCTTCCAAAGCGACCGAGTCCCCAGCGCCAGTTCACACCCCGGCCTAAGCAGCGAATGACCCTCCCGGTGCCTGCAGTGGTGGTGCTGCACGTAGGAACGCTTCCCGCTGTAGACTGCAGACAATTAACACAACAGGCAAAAGGAGAGCCTGCAGGAGCGTCCCCTTTTCAAAGCGAGGTGCCTTTTAAGCAAGCAGCTCTTCCCCTTCACTCAGCCACTGCAAGTGCAGCTGGAAGAGGCGCTGGCCAAGCACCTGGTCCATGGACTCCCTCGCTGGTCTGTCGCCCTCCCCGTTCGGCTGAGGCTCGGGCAGCTGGCATCCCCTTTGCGCCATGCATGACGAGGTTCGTAGCCACAAGCACCAGCGAGGAGGGGACCCCACCAGAGGAAGCCGGGGGCACGTGGGGTGCCCAAGATGGACATGGGCAATGTCTGCTGCAGACCCGCAAGCTGGTTTTCCTGCCGGCTTCAACGGAGGCAGAAACCAAGGCATTGCCTCCTCTCTCGGCTCTGAAGCAACTCTTGCCGCCCTCAGCCCGAGTCTGTGCATGTGGCCTGGGGGGCAGCCACCGTGTCGGTCAACAGCTGGAAGACGAGTCAAAGAGGCCCGTGCCTTGCAGGAACCCCTCCTTCCAGGCCCCGGAAGGACGCTTGTTGCGATACAAGGCACAGAGGAAGAAATCGATGCTGGCTGCTCCGTGCCAACACAGTAGCCCTTGGATCATCGTAAGGTAAAGATGGCTTCTTACATTCGTTACGTAGACCCTGAGTAGTATGAAATGATGGGCTACATTCTAGCCTCCCCTGACCCAGCAGCTTTTTGCTGCCAAGGCAAGAACCGTTTATACGCTCATTATACGCAGGTGCTGCAAAATAAGCAACCTCGGGGGCAACCCAGCACACGTTTAGACAGAAAAATGGCCTGCAACTCACATCACTCCCTCTACTTCGGCCAAGGCGGGAAACTGCCATCCAACATGTCAGGTAACCTCCAGCACTTAGAAGTTCTTGGCACAGGTGAGGTCAGTAGATCCTTGTGTTACTTTAAAATTGAATAACCAGAAGGGTTATTTATTAGCCTTTCCATTGTCCCAACTTAAATGGAAATGCAACCTGGAGATTAACAGCAAACTGCTGTTAAATGCTACAAGCCAATCTCAGAATTATGTCCAATTTGCTTCTTAACCATAAAAATAGCTAGAAAAGCATGTGAAAATTGAATGGCAATCAAAATGCTGGCTTTTGTTTTCCAAAACAGCCTCTGTGGCATTAACACCTGCCTCACAGGCAGATATTTCACAGGTTAAGCTTTTCTAGGCCAAAACCTACATGACAGTGGAAAAAGCATCCTAAAAGCACAAGAGCCATATCAGAAAAAATACTGGCAATCTGATGTTAATTGCCTGGTGCATTTTCCGGGCAGTTCATCTAGGAGTTCCTTACCCCTCCTCCCGCAGAAGGGTTTATGTGGGGCAATTCATGCAATGAAACCACACTGGAAAATGCCCCACAGCAACGGTGGGGGCGAAGCAACTCGGCTGGTTTAGCACAGGTTATGGCTTCATATGCCACGAAGGCCTGCTCACGAAGAGGTCAGGGCCAGAAAAAGTGGCGGCCACAGGATGGGCGGAATGCCCAGGCCCTGGGACCAGGTGAGCCCGTCCCTGAGACTGTCCTCAGGGTGGTACAAGCACAGAAGGGCTGCGCTGGAGCCTCCCCGAAAGCAGGCAGCAGCACCATCCTGGAAGTGCGTCCAGGAGCCTGCACAATGCCAGAGCTGCTGCCGGAGCACAACTGCTGGGCTGCTGCAGACTGGACCGATGCGAGGGGCGCTTTCTCGGCGCAGTGACCATGTGTATTCACCATCGCCTCCAGAAGGGACTGAAGGCAGCTGGGGACCCACATGACAAACCTGACCCTCTGGAGGCCCCCGAGTTGCTCACACCCACTCCTTCAGGACACACGCAGCTACCCAGGGCCAACGGCACTTCCAAGGTGAAGGAAACATGCCTGAGTGGCTGCAGGACTTGTTAGCAGGCTGCTGAGGGGGTTGAATCCAAAACTCTGGCCCATCCCAAGCTGGGCTGCCAGGAATGCAGGCGGCTAACCAGGTGCTGGCAGTGTTTCTCAGGGGGTGATACAGGTCGGGCAGAATTCGTGGCATCTGAAATTCACCTTAGAGTGTGCTAACTTCAGCAAAGGGACACTGGCCTGAGCAAGCTACCTCCTGAGATACTGCACCTCAGAGGTGGATGGCTCCCTGCTTGGAGGGAAGCAAACATCCGGACCCCTGCAGCCGGGCACACCTGAGTTGGTCTTCCACCTGAGTGAGAAGTTGGGAGGGGAAGTCCAGCTGATGGGACAACGTTCTGAAATCAGATACTGCTAAAATGGAAGGCATAAAGCAGCAGGAAATGAATGCCTTCCTGGGCACAGCTGTAAAAAATGGTGGGAAGTAGGAAAATGTCTTTATTTGCTAACCTCTATCCTGCCTGCCTTGAAAAAATGGTTGGGGTGGGAGAAGAAACAATTCCCATCCCATGTGGAAGGGTCATGCCGAAGGATCTTGTTTGGACGGCTCATCCAGAAGCAGCGTGGGTGGGCCGGTGGCAAAGCCTGCTCGCTCCCTTTAGTTCTTCTCACCTTTGTCTGGAAACAGAGAGAGCAAAAGTCATACTTGGAAAGGACCTCTAGGAATCATGCGGCAAAGGCTGGGAAGTGCCACAGAACTCCAGGGGAGTGACTTCCAGGCCAGTAATGATAGGGCTGCATTGCAACTGGACTGAAAACGCAAGCAGATGCAGTAAGGCTCCACCCGGCGATTCTAAGGAATCACATTTGGGAGAGTTTCAAAATAAAGCTAAATACTGGCATAGCATCATCTTTTTCAATAAATTGAAAAGTCAGTCCCAAAGTATTCCAGGAAGTTTTGCCACATTCCCAGAAGCTTCTCAGTTCTAGTATTTATCACTTGCTCCCCCCTCCCCCGATATCTGATCTATCCCACTGCCTAATCTCAGAAACACCGGGTGCTTTCCACTTCTGGAGCAAGCCTGGCTCTCAGAGAATGCAGCCCAGAGTATAGGCTGCAACTGAATTGTGAGCTGTTGCTGAATTATGGGTGGTTATCATTATGTGAAAACCCTACATTATGGTTTAACTATGGCTGACTAACCATGAACAACCCAGAATTCACAATCCAACAATAAGCCATGGGTTATCTTCCTGGATTGTTTCTGGTTAACAACCCATAACTAAACTATGGTGCAGGATGCGCACTCAACAAGCCCCAATCCAACCCATACTTCGTGTTGTCATTGCATGCAGATTGGATCAATGTTTTGCCAGCTGTATCTTGCTTAGTGCCTTGCAATGGAGGAATCCATTGAACAAGCCCAGAGCGGTGCAGCCTGTACTGGCAAGACAAAAGAGATGCCAGGGACATGGCAAAGGACAAGCACCTGGAATGGCAGACAACTGTCTTCAGAATACAGAGCCAGCCTGAAGGAGAAGGCCAAGGTCCATAATACAGAGATGCAAACACAAGAGCAAAGTACGCAGATCTCGGAATCAATATTATCTGCAGCAAAGCCAAGGCCAAACATGCCAGCCTACATTCCCAGTGCCTCCTGAGTGGCACAGGTGCTACATATCATAAAGGTGTTCCTTCCTGGGGCTGGGTGCTTCATCTTAAAGAGAAGTTAATGGTTTGCCCTTTGGGCGGCAGACCTCTCTGGGACTGGAGAGATGCTCAGACTCTGCCTCTGAGGTGGAAGACCACTCCTACCAGGGTAGACCACAGTCCTCTCCTGTGAGGGTCCAGGCTGCTCCATGCCTCCTGAGGGAAGACGGCCCACTGGATCCATCTGTCCCAGGGAGTTCTTGCTGCTCAAAAGAGGCTCCCACCCATGGGGAGGTGATGGGTACATGGTCCTCAAGAACCAGGTTGAACACACAAAGTTTCTCATTTTCTAAGGCATCCCAATACTGTACCCAGAGGGATCTGAGTCTATGCAAAAAGTATTCTAGCTTTCTTTCACTATCTTCTCTCAAACTGGAAGGATTGCTTTCCAATTCACACAAGATACACCAGGTGCATTCTTTGCAATTCTTATGCATTCTCCCATTGTAAAGGTAAAGGTTTCCCCTTGACATTAAGTCCAGTCATGTCTGACTCTAGGGGGCGATGCTCATCCCTGTTTCCTAGCCGAGGGAGCCAGCATTTTTCCGCAGACTGTCTCCATGATCATGTGGCCGGCATGACTAAAAATGCTGTTACCTTCCCACCGAAGTGGTACCTTTTTATCTACTTGCGTTTGCATGCTTTTGAACTGCAAGGTTGGCAGGAGCTGGGAAGGCGCACGAGAACTCATCCCGTTGTGCAGATTCGAACCAGCAACCTTTCAATCAACCAGCCCAGCAGCACAGCAGTTTAAACCACTGCGCCACCTGCATCCCATTATAGGCAGCATATAAATATGTGGATAAATAAATAAGCGAGAAGAGATTTGTATGGCATGCAATGCAAAGACACTGACTTTGAAACATTCAATTGTATGACATTCAATTTTTGTCAAATTTTTGTCAATTTTTGTCCTTGCACAATGGGGTTGCACCAGTCTCGAAGTTGCCACACAGATCTGCTCAGGTGCCATCACCTGCCTTACAAAACTTTCCTGGGTCCAGTTAGAAAGGAATTCTGCAGGCTTGGATGGACAGAGAGCCCAGCCTTGTGGTTGACTCACCTTTAGGGATGAACTTGAGAGAGCTACTGAATATTCAGAAGCGAGACTGGCCCTTCTTCGGGCCATCATTAATAAACTCGTGGCCAAGACTATTGCCACACCTGCCACAGGAGACCTAGAGGGAAAGCCAACCAAAAACAAGTAGTGAGAGACAATTCCAGACCCTTCCACACTTTCTTACACAATGGGTGCTTCCACACCAAGGCCTGCTACTAAAATTGCTTTCCTGGTTACATGCAGTACTCTGCATAGGGCTTTATTTATTTAGCAAGACCCATAACCATGGATCCATCTATAATGCTTATGAGAAGTGAACTGCATCGAGCACAGGTATGTTGCAACTTTAGCTAAAAGCTTCTGTCATATGGCTTCTATTTCTTGTTCAAAGCAGCACAGTATTTTTGATGAATAGTCAGCCTTTTAACTAGGAGTGGGGGGTTTAACTATTCATCTCCCCACATTCTATTCTATACTATTCTATTCTGTTCTATTTATTGCCGTTTCAAATAACTTCAAGGAGGAAGCTTCTAATTAAGAGCAAAACATCTCCAAAAGGTCTCAATATAATTTTGCTAGTCTGTTTTGGACCGTCTGGTGTAGCCAATGCATTCGTAGTGCTACAAATCAGGTCTTTAAAGAGACACTTGGACAAAAAGAAAATTTTAGAATTCAACAAATTACCAACAATGTTTGTGTGTTTATTAGATTTCTAACCCACCCTATTAGCCACACAGCTACATGGGTGGGTTACAACAATAAAAACCACATAAGAACAATACAAAACAGTATAACAGCACCACAATTAATAATAAAACATTAAAACAATAAAAGTGTACACACCAAGCTCATGACTTCATTAAAGTAATGTCATTTACCACCTTGAATTGGGCCCAGATTTCCACTGCTAACCAGTGGAGATGGCAGAGGACTGGCTTTATATGATTGTATCTGCCAGTCCTCATTAGCAGTCTGGCTGCCCTATTCTGGACCAACTGAAGTCCCCGGACCATCTTCAAGGGGAGCCCCACATAAAGTACCTTGCAATAGTCCAGGCGCAAGGTTACCAGCGTGTGGATAACTGTTGCCAAGTCCTGTCTGTCCAGATATGGCCACAGCTGGTGTCAGCTTTAGCTGATAGCAGGCACAGTCCTGGCCACTGAATCCACTTGGAACTCCAGGGATTCAGAAGCACCCCCAAGCTGGAACACCTGTCCTTTAGGGGAAGTGAAACGCCATCCAGGACAGGCAAGGTGAACAGAACCCCCCACCAACAATAGCTCTATCTGATCTGGTTGAAGTTTATTGGCCCTCATTTAATCCATTATGAAGGCCAGACCCCAATTAAGAGCATCCACTGCCACACCTGCATCCAGGTGAAAGGCAGAGGTGACTGACATCAGTGACTTCTCCCAATGGTTTCATGTAGATATCAAGGAGCATGGGGGATAAGGTGGAGCCCTGCGGAACTCCACGGCATCAATGCCCTGGCGCAAAGCAGTAATCCCCAGCACCACCTTCTGGACAGTCGGCCAAAGAGGAGCAGAACCAGTGCAGTGTCGGCTGAATTCTCTGTAAAACTTGATGGAGCAAGATCAATTCCAGGCCAAATTGCCAGTGTGGAGGTAACACACTGGGGCACAAGACCTAGGAACTAAACCCCAGTCCCCCGTACCCTGGCCTCAGGTCCTGTCCCCAGTCAGTGAAGTTTTGATGAAGACTGACAGAACCTTGGCTCACCTTGAAAGCTCCCGATCTTTCTAAGTACTTGGAAATGCTGTCCTCGTGGATCGGCTCTGTAAAAGCTGGCCATGGCGTCGAGTGACTGAACTTAGACTTGCTAGAGAAGAGTTCGTAGCTGCATTTTGAGCAGGTGTATATACCTGTGGGCAAAGATGAAGCAAGGAGGAAGAAATGAGGCCCTGGGAACCAAAATATACATACATGCAGACAGGCAGGTGGTCAGCTGGCTTCCTGCTGGGCATGGCCGTGCCCTGGACACACTCCGTCTGAAATCACCTTGATAATCTTCTTTCTCCTGGCACTCCCAGTAGGCAAAGATCCTGGGGGGGGTGTGACAGGAAATGGCTGGAAAACAGAGCCATGCGTGCTCATGGCCTGTTCTACACTGCCTAAATCAAAAGCTGGCAGCCAAGTACCTTCTGGTCTGTGACTCCCATAATCCCTGACTGCAGATCTTACTGGCTGGGGCTGTAGGCACTACAGTCCAAAGGATTCAGAAGCACCACATTCAAGCATCAGCCCAGTTAAATGCAAGAACCACCATAGCAGATCAAGATCCACAGAGCAGTCGACCAGCTGCCCCGCCACGTCCTTTACCCACGTTCCTCAGCAACTAGCACACGTGGCTATGGGCACATGTGGACATGCCAGCAACTCTGACTCTGGAGGCACCCTCGGGCCTTCCTTTCCTCTGCCCTGAACTTCCCACCTATCCCCTTTATGGGGCGACTCCGGGGTCTAATATTGTGAAAGAGGGAAAACCCGTCTCCCTGAATCGTGAACCCAGGACTTCTACGCTCCTGAATACAGGCCTTTTGCGGCAAGTGCCGGTGGAGTGAAGTCAGGATTTCAGAGAAGACATAACAGCAAGTGGATCCTGCGGTTGCAGTTGCGAAGCCTGCCCACCCCACAGGAGCGGCCCAGAGGGAGGTGGAGCGCTTGCCCAGGCACACAGCTCAGCGCCCGTTCCTTCGCTGCAGGACACATTTTAGATCACTGCAATCCCTCGTTGCATCAGTGCCATGCCTTGAAGGGGCTAGAGAGTTATTTATTGCATCTTTATAGTCATAAAGTTGTAAATAAATAACTGTATTAACGAAATTGTGAGGTTTACCCTTGCAAAGTTATTTATTGCAAGGTGGTAATCTAACGCCCAAAAGGGCGTGGGGAGGTGGGCTAAGGGGCTGGGGAGCTGCCTCTGGCGCGCACCTGGCTGGGGAAGGCCGTCGGCAGGGGATGTTCGCCGACCGCTACGTCCAAGGACCCCTGTAGCTGAACCGCGCCTGCACCCCAGCTCCCTCCCCCGAATCTGCCCGCTTCGCGGAGCAAGGGGACGCAGCCCCCTCCGGTCGCTGGGGCCAATGCACCATCAGCGGCCGCCTCCGCAAAGGGCTTTGCCTGGCTGCGGCTTTCGCCCCGCCGGGCCGGGCCGGGCCGGGCCTCGCACCCGCCCTCCGGGGGGGCAGCGGCGCCCGGCGATGCTGCCAGTCTGCCCGGCGGGAGCCCCGAGGCCCGGAGCGCTTCCCGGCCGGAGGATGTGCGCCCCGCCAGCGGGCCGGCGGCTGCGGGCGAGGGACCGGGCCCCAAGCGGGGGCAACCGGTCCCCGCCGAAGCGCCGCCCGAGCAGGCGGCTCCGCAGGCGCCCCTCCCGGCGAGGCCTGCAGCCCGGCGGCTGCCTGG